TACTTACTCCGTTTGTGTGCCCTATTATTATAGAGCTCCTCCTATTAAAATGTTTCTAGAAATTAATGCATTTTAATTTTTTTGCATTTAAATTTTGCCATTATCAAAAATATTTTAGAAATATGTTCTTTTTTCTCTAGATAGGTACTGGCTTCAATTTTGCTGGTTACTAACTTAGATTTACTTTTATTATTTGTTGCTTTAACTGATTTGGTCATTAAAGTGAAGTACTTTTTTAGAAGTACTTTTTTTGAAATTTCAGGGTAAAAATAATGTTCAAAAAGTTGTTCTTTCCAATTTGTTTCCAACTTAATTTGTCAGCATCAAAACTGCTTATTGTTATCAACCATTTTAGGGAAAATTGTGTTAGAATATGAGAACATAATCCAGAGAGGTTCAGTGTAGATAACTGAGAGGTAACAAGGTAAAACTTTTGAGAATGTTTTAGCATTGCATGCTTAATTTCTTTCAAGACTCTGCCACTTGCTATTTCTTAACCTAGAAGAGGATGTTTAATCTAGATGACTAAATTTCCTCATCTGTAGGATGGTGGTAATAGCGACTACCTCCTGGAGTAGTTGTGAAGATTGAGAGTCAAAAAGTGTAATATGCTCCTAGTAACTTCAGTGCTTAGCATAGCGCCTGTGTTCACTGTCATTATTACATCAGCTTTAAGACCTGTGCTAGTAATTCTTACTAGTCTCCAGATTTCTCCCAAAATTGATTGTGCTTGAGAAGTAGTTTTTTACTCAAAGAGTAAAACTAAATGAAGTGAGAGGATTCTCATAATAAGTCCCCTGTTTCCAAAGAGAGTAAGAATGGCTGCCCCTTAAATTTGAGACCAGAAGTTTAGTTTCTTTTAGAGGATTTGTCAAGGGTGAAATTGTTTTTAGTCTTCTTGGATCATGTAAAGATCCAGATGCCATTATTCATTTGGTAGGCAATATGTTTTAAATGAGCTTAGTTCAGAAAATAAATGCTTTGACTTTCTCTGTATTTAACACTTGAATTTGACGTTACTCAGTTACTGCTCAGCTGTAAGGTTAATGTTAATAATATTAATTTAATCTTTTTCTGACCAGCTTTGAGCAGGAGTAGAAAGTAAAATGTTAGAAAGTGATATGTTGAATTTCTAGGCCAGTCTTCATTCCAGGACCTACCCTTAGTATTCCTAGTAGTGATATGCTCCAGTTCTGCATACGTTCTCCAGAACTTCATGTCCATTTACAAATAATTGCAAATCTGGAGTTTATTGAAATCATCCTTGAATAGTATTTCAACTCTTTTAAACAAAATAATAGCTCACAAGTCAAATTGTACAAATCAGGGCTTCTTTGACATTGTGAATTTAATGCACATTCTGTGTTTACCAAGCTAGTAGCCAATCCATATTACAACCAAATTATATTTACTGTGTATTATTTAACTAAGAAAAGTTTACAAATTAATTGCAAATATATCTTTGATGTCTGATGATAAAGAAGAAAGACAAAAAATTCTGGAAAAAATTTATTAACAATTTCAAAAAGGTTAGTTAGATCCCTTCAATTGCTGCTGACTCTTGCCAGAATTAAACCAAAAGCATTTGTTAGGTAGCTCTTTGAACACTGAGAAATAAAAATGAAAGTTTCAAAATAATCAGAAATTTTCTTCATAGTTAGCCAACTTTAGTTTGTATATGTGCTGCCAAAGCAAACACAAGCCAACTTCAGTTTGGAATCCTGCCCCATAATCACTTAAAAGCCGAACTTCTCCTGTAGTAACTGCCTGGAGCGAGAACTTTCCGAGCTGCCTCAGGGGGGCCCTCACTCCAGCTAACAAGATTCTCTGTTTTAGAAATTAAAGCTACTTATACCCACTAGGACACCTTTATCTCTTTACCTCCAAAATCAATTGACCAGTAGGAAGGAGTGTTAGGCCCAAGGGATCTGTCTTGTGAGGTGAAGCTAATTTTGACCGTGGTCTTATGAGTCTCCCCATCAGAAGAGTGGGAGAGTTTATTCCCCACAACTGGTTTGCTTCTTTGCATTTTCTTCTGTGATAGTCATCAGAACATTGTTTGTTGCTGGCTTGTTATAGTTATTTAAATGTGTTGTGATCAAAATACTCATTATGGTTTATCCTAACAGTTGGGGAAGTTCTTTTTCCCCTTTGACACCCAATACTAAAATATAGTAGAAAGAGGAAGTTATTAAGTCAAACTATTGAAATACCTTCATGGTTACAGAAAATCTGTTTAATACTGTTTCCTCCCCCACCCCCTGACAGTTTTATGCTATGGAAATCTAGCACTCGATTTGCTTTCTCACACCTTTTGTAAAAATCACCCTGGCATTGTGGGTACTCTTCGAGCACATCTCTGCTCGAAGGGGCTTCGAGCTGTCCATAGGGGCTTGTTTTCGGTTTCATTTGGAGGTTGGTTTTCTTGTTTGTTTTTTGTTTTGAGAAATAGACCCAACATCTGGGAATATTTTGAAGATATTTAAGTGACTGCAGAAATTCTCAGTTCTCACCTTAATGTAATATTCTCCCTTATATCAATAGTTAACCATTTCTCTCTGGCAAAGCCAAAAAGAATAAAGTGACCCTCCTCCTAATGTGTGCTGCAGTAAATGCAGCCCATACTGAAAAACTTCTTGTTGAAAAAGTGAAAAATGAAAGGTCATGTAATTGGCTCTCTTTTAAACAAAATCATTAACTCTTGTTCATTGTTGCTCACTTCTGCCATCAACTGTCCCTCCTGATCTTTCCTGTCTGTGGGACGCTCCTAGCCAACCTTTTCCACTGATAGTCATGATTAGAGCCACGCCTGGGGGAGTGGGGGAGTGGTGATAGGCACGATTGTGATTCAGAGCTGGAGGGACTCCTACCAGGTCCTGAGTATTCTCCCGAGTCAGAGAGTCAGATAACAAACAGGAAAAAACAATCCTAACTAACTACCAACTGGTAAGTAAGTTTTCCCCGCCCTCCCTCTGAACATTCAGGCATTGTTACTCTAAACACAATGATAATATCTGGATGGTTTAGAATATTCTATCTTTCTAATTTTCCCATAGACTAATCCATAATACTTTCCCTCGGAATCCCAGCTTGGGGTTTTGTAAAAATCTGTTTCATGTTTCCTTTTACATTCATCCAAGGTACAAAGATTAATTTGCATGAGGTTCCCTCCACTTTTATTTTGTAATTCTATACTTCTGGCCCTTCCCCTCCCAAAAGGCTACTACTTCATATATCCAGCAAAATGTTGTAAGATGTCTACCCTCCTCCACCCAAGACAGAGTCGATCATCTTTGACACCTGCTTAGTCTCCTGAATCTGCTACTGAGTGTAATTCCCCTTATTGGCAACACCACTCACCAGGTCAGCTCTACAGATTCTTTTTAGCCTAATTCAGTCCATTTTTTTTCCTAATAAATGTGTGTAGCAAGATAATTACATCACTATTTGTTTGCAGCTTAATAAGCTTCTGTTTAAAAAAAACATTCTCAAGCAAACAAAGATCATTATTTCTCAGCTGTGAGAGATTTGTTTCAACCTCTATTATGAGCATGAGAGCTTTGGTAAGCTCACAGTGTAGATTGTCTGCTTTAAGTATCAATTTTAGAAATGGGGGCTCTATTCTGCTCTGGGAATTGAACCCCTTTGCTGCGATTGATATCTATTTTTCTTGGACTACTTTTTTAAAAATTTGCCTTCTTTATGGTAAATGTTTGCTTTGTTTAGAAACTAACATTAAGAAGGTGTACAGTGAATAATCTCCCTCTCATCCTCACCCCTCAGTTGTCCAGTTCCCACATTGTCCTCTCCATAGATAACCATTGTCCTTAGTTCCTAGTAGTCTTCCAGAAATTTGTTATGCAATTCTTGGCAAAAATAAAAATAGAGTATTATTTTTCTTTTTTACATGAAAAGTAGTATATATGCAGTCTACAACTTTTTTCACCTTATAAATCTTTGCTGTCATTCTGTATCACTATGTAGGAAACTACCCTACTCTTAAAAACCATACCTTTATTCCATTGTATGAAAGTACCGTAATTCCTATAACCACCCCCCTCATTGAAGGATATGTTTAAACTTTTGTTATTATAGCATACTCTAATGAATAAGCTTGCACAAATATTTTGTGCTACCATATCAGTAAGATATCAAAATCTGTAGGATTTTGAGTTCTCAAACTTACACTTTTATCCACTAATCTGAGAGTGACAATCTCAAGATTACTACACAGTGCTAGTCAAGAAAGGCAGGAAAGGAACACCAGTTTATGCTTTGCTCCTCAGTCTTTTTGCCCACACTCTTTTTTTCCAGACTCTCAGACTTCTCATTTCTACTGCCCTGATTTTGTGCCAGGTTTGTCTCTTCTTGGCTATAGGATTATTTTTAGCAGCCTCAAAGCTAATTCTTGACTACTTTCAATATCTTCTTTCAAGAACTGTTAGGGTAGCTGACCTAGTAAGCATGAGAATTTGATTGAGAATTGGGTGAAAAATTTTTTCCACGCCCATATCATGGAAGTCATTTAATGAATATATCTAAGGGCAGTAAGTCTTACAAGGTCTCAGTGATTTGGATTACTTGAGTAAAAGCTCACCATTTCTTCCATTTGATACTACAAAGCACTTATTTCTTAACTTCATATTCTATAGCAGTGTAATGCAATCCTCTGCTTGATATTCAAAATTGAATTCATGTTTTTTTTTCTTTGGTGGGAAAGGTTCAGCTGTAGTTTCAACTCAACGTCAATGAGTCAGAAATTTCCTTTGGAAAGGAGGGGTTTTTATTGCTCTGTGAAATTCATCAAATTAAATTAGAAAAGCTCTAGAATTTATTTGGTTTTGCTCATAACAAATTTTTGACACCTCCTTTTCCCCTTTCCTCAATATTTGAGATTTTTTTCGATTGTGCATGATAGAGGAATGCTGCTAAGCTTGCAAGTAATTAACTTGAAATCGTTTTGAGTAACTCTGCTTTTTTGGCTTTTTGTACCTAATCAGAATTGATGTGACTGAAGTGCAAATCTTCATAATAATCATGCATTTGCTGGCAGTGATTGGAGGACCACCTTTTTGGCAATCTATGGTAATTTTGTTCACATTGTGTACCATTTAATGCATGTTGTCTTTTGCTTGTTTTTTCTAATACAGGATAATACATTTAATGATTGTCATGGACAAATTGTATTCTTTTCTGAAAATGAAAAGTCGCAACAATAGTAGAACACGGATTTTCGCTCTAGGGCATGGTGAATTTTACTACTCAGAATTATTTAGTACATTTGATCCATTCCAGGGCTATTATTTTTGAATCATTACTTGTCATTCTGTTTACAACTGAGGAGACAGCAGGGAGTAAGTGTAGCAAGTTGACCAATGAGAAGGATAAGTCAGGCCTTTTACTCTCATTCAGAACTGCAGGAGCTTAGTTTTTCTGTCATTTACTTAATGCTTGATAGCAAATTTGGGATTGTAAATTAACTGCAGCGCCAAAACAAAAAGATTACTTATTGAAATCAGTGTCATAGATTATTTAAACAACCTAGCACCTTGATTTTCCACCTGACCTGAAATAAATGTAAACCCTTGAAGCACATATTCTTTACCACAAACATCTGAAAGGAGGAATGTCACATATATGACGTGAGGGCACCGTAACCAGACTGCCTGAGGTACTGCTCCCCTGGCCACAGTGTGAACTTCATCTGTCATTCAGCTCGCTGTCCTGCAAAATGAGGACAGTAATAGTTCCTGTCTCAGAAGGTTATTTTGTGGATTAAATGAGTGAATATGTGTCCTCAATAAAAGTTGTTGTTGCTCTTACAGTGAGAAGGTAGCCCTGCACATTTGAGTCACTCTCCACTATTAACTAGCTGTAGTCACAGGTGACTGCTGATCACTGCTGCCATTCATTCAGCATATAGTATTGTAATTCCCTCTGTGCATTCCTCCTGAAAGGATTTACTACTCCTAAACAAGTTATCATAATTCTTAAAAATTTTAAAGCACAAGGGGAATATACTGAACAAGATTTTCTCTTACCTAACTCACTTTATAATGGTAAATTAGATACTTGAGGAAGTGTAACTGACACACTTCCCTAGGTATTTACTATCATAAAGTGTTTAATGTCTTTTATTCAGAGGATAAGATTGTATGGAGGGTGTTGACGAAAGAATAAAAATAATCCATAGTCAATCAGGGAAATTCTGTGTACATTATTTATATTCACATTATCCCTACACATTAATCTCAAAAGCCAATAGGGTCTCCAGTGAAATCTGGGCTCTTTAGGTATGTAGCTATATAGACAGAATTTATAGGTATATTTTTCTGGAGTTAGACATACAGTTATATTATTTTTTCCTCCAAATAGTTTATTTATACATCTCTCTTTTACATATATAAAAACTATTTTTGAAACAAATTAGTTGTAAAAGAAAGGATTTTCTGAAAGCAGATCATAAAGCCTAAAGTCTCCAATTAAATTTTTTATATAGCTTGACTATATTATTTTGATAAATTTTGTGTTTTATACACAATCTCCCCCTTATAATTACTTCAAATATCTTAAAATAACATATAAATTACCTACAGAGTCTCAGCATACCAGTAAGCAAAAAAACTGGGCCTTTAGGCTTGATCATCCAGAAACAAGTCAGCATCAGGTATAGATATCTAATTTTCCTACTCAGTATGGAAATGCAGAAGGTTATTCTATGTGAAGTGATACATAAACATATCCTTATTCTCTAGGTGCTACCTGACAGTAAAGTTGCTTCAGGTATACTTGTTACACATGTACATAACATGTACTTAACAGATCTTTTAAAAGGATCAGATGTTTTGTCTTTTATGTAAATAAAGAAATTCAGAGTCAGTGAGGAGGTATTGTAGCCCAAAGACAGACTCTGCCCCGACTAGCGTCAGCATCACTGCTCTCACTGTCACCATCACGAAATTAGAGAGAAGGAATTGGCTTCTCTGGTGATGATTCTTTGAGCAGGGCCCACAGTTGGCCTCAGGTGTTTGTATTTGTCTTATTTATTTGATCCTACTACTTCACTGCTGTTTGATTTGCACCCTGTCGTTCAGGGAAGAGTAGTTTTGTGGTTAAAATAAAAAGTACAAATATCTTCAAAATGAATCCAGAAGATCAGTTATTTTGCAGAGGTAAAGGCCTGTAGCTACTATTTATATAAAGGAAGGAGAGTCTCTTATGTAGAAAAGTCAACAGTTCATGGTTTATACGAGGCCATAAGTCAATAATTTTTTTAGGGATTCCCTAAAAATTGGGGACAATCTTGGAACTGTCATTTGTCATATTGCTTAAAAAAAAATTTGAGGGCATCTCTTTGAAAGACACCCACATATAATCTTCTCAGTTACTTGCAATGATGTTTGAATCTTTTAAATATAGTAGTTGGATAAATGTGTATTGTGCCATGAAGCACCTTCTGGAGTCCAATTAAAGCAAACGGTTAATGTTAATACAGATGAAGTTTCAGAATTGACTAGGTAGAACCAAAGGCTTGCTATGTAGTGTAATTTATTTACCTCATTTTTAAAATAAAAACTTCGGAAGTACACTGTACCCGAATTCAGACACAGTGGTTTTTCTTTAAACATTAAGTGGACTCTGTAATAATTGTTGCATTGTATTTTGATAGAATTCACTTACATTAAAAGCATTTATAAGCAGGCTTTTCACATACTTTGAAAGAAAGTTAATACCTAATCTCAAGATGATTCTATTTTCTGCTGAAATTTACAAAGCTTATAGGAACATTTATTTTATTGTGCTCAAAAGAAATTAGTCTGTTTACTGACTGGTCTTCTGCACAAGTCCAGACTGTAAACCAAAATGTTCCAGTTATAAATCTGGTAAATCTGACACTCGAAAGTATTATTTTTCCTATCACTTAGTAAATTACATTACGATAATGTCACTTGGATGCATAATTCCATGGCATAAAGCCAGAGATGCATCCTGGGTCTGTAGGGCAGATTCGGTGAACCTTACTGAGTTCTTCCTCTTCCCAGTCTCAAAGACTTCTAGATCTGGACAGGGCTGAGACGCAGGTGTGCAGCTTTCCAAAGGTCTCTTCAGAGTGGGTGCACTTTTGCCACCTTGGAAGAGTTGCAGGGGGATGAGGACAGAAAGAGAATAATTAGGAGAGGCGGGCTGTGCCCCTCCCCCCCTTGATCTGGGGTATGAAGTGAAAAAGTACTTTTATTGGTGTTTAAAAGTGGTCTGGTTGTTGACACTTTTTCAGGGGTCACCTGGTAAATCTTGGGGTTCCTCTGATTACAGTTGTTTGCTTTACTGCCTAGGAAGTATTTTTGTAGTTGACTCTCTTCTTTCTTACATGGGTGGCAAGAATTTTCTTTCACTGTCTCAAACAGCATTCTACTCAACAAGTGGGTATCATAACCTGTAGAGTCCAGGGTTCTAGAGAGAATATAAACATCAGTTCAAAGAATATGAATGTTTTGGTGAATGTGGTTATTACCTATGACAAGCCCCAAGGCTCCAAGAATATTGCGGCACTCTGCTCTGCAGTCAGGAGCTCCCTTATGTGCTTGTGCTCCAGTCATTTACTGACTTGCCTGGCTTTTCGAGCGCTTCCGTCTATTCTTTTCCTTTACAGCAGGCAACAATTTCCATGATCCTGAAGCATTTTCACAAAAATTTAAATACAGGTGTGGTGCTGTTCATTTTCAAATGAGGCAGATTGCTGCCGCCATTAGTTGGCACTCATTCACCATCCTGGCCCAAGTCAGGGATGCCCCTGCATTAATTCTTTGCTTCTTTTGAAATCTCAGCAAGTGTAGTATTTCTTCCTTTGCCAGTCAAGTTCTTTGTTTCTGGAGGGAAAGAAAACTAGCCCAGGATTGAATTTCAGCCAGGTGCATCAGATTTAGATTGTAGTTTCTGAACTAGAGCAGAAAAATCTCTTGGCATTCAAAGCAATCATGATTTGATTTTCCTTTTGTTGGAAAAAAGTTTTGAGTTGTAGGAGTTGAGATCTTTTAGGGAAGGAAGATGACCATTTAGGATGCTCTGTAAGGCTCTGGGCTTTTTTTTTTTTAATCAAGCTCATTTAAGAAAATTAAATATTGCAACAGTACTACTTGAAATTTGAACAGTTGATTTCAACTATTTTTTGTAGAGCTGAAGTTTTGCAAGAGGTCATAGAGTTGTATAAACAAACGAGTTCTTGAGAATCTTAAAGAAATAGAGCAGCTAAATATTGAAGTCTACATCTACCAATTTTACTGAGGTTTTATACATCCAAGAAAGTCAGGATGTGTCAGTTTCCCATTTAGTGTGAAACATGTAGGCAGATGGTAACCCCCAAAAGTGTAAACAGCCCTAATAGAAATGCTTTTATTATAAGAACTCATCATTTATTAAGCCATTGTAGACAAGGACTTTTCACTTTAAATGATGGACATTGTACTTACAAGGTTAGATAAGCCACTTAGCACCCACCCCTGACTTTAGGTAAGTTAGGTAGCCTTTCAGTATATTATAAAAATAGAATTTTTCTTCTGAAAAGTAAACATATATTGAAATTCTCTATGCACAATTTTAGAGCTGAACCAGCCTGCTTACACACACACGTGCGCACACACACACACACACATCACCACCACCACCCCACCACCACATACTGAATACTTTCTTATTTCTCCTCTGCTTTTACTAGCTGTCTGTATCCTAACAATTTGTAGTCTGGAACTTTTCAGAGTGGAAATTGTGTCTTTCATTTCTAGCTTACAGATTTTTTAAATCTTCTTGCAGATATTTAGCCTTTAATTCATATACTTTTTCTCCCATAACAATTAGTAACAAAATACTGAGTTAGGGTAGAATTCAAAAGATGCACAAAGACAAAGTACTCTTTTATAAAACAGCCAGAAGACAGCCTGGTTCACTGTCAACCAGCTTCTGGGATACATAGGTGAACTGTTAAATTCACCTAATTCATCAGGACACAGATTAATGAGGATGGATCAGTTATTTTTTTAAAGGTTGGGGTCAAAAGTGTGATAAGTTTCTGTGTAGCTTCATCTCTTGACACTTGTTATAAATCTTACATTAGGAAGAAGAGGGAGAATTTCTTTAATGAAGGTGTTTACTAAGCTGAAACAAATGGAGAATATCTGGAACATGAATCAAATACTGATGTTTATTTTAATTTGTATGGTTTTAATTATTCTTTCTTTCTACCCATTAAAGATTCCAGTGCTGAATATTCAAATGAAAATTTTTCCTGCACTTTGTACTGTGGCAGGGACCATATTTTCCTGTACAAATTACTTCCGTGTAATCTTCACAGGTGGTGTTGGAAAGAATGGATCAACAATAGCAGTAAGTTTTCCTAAGACTTTCAGCAATTGTTTATGCTAGAACTTGGTTTTGTGTTGTTCTGTTTCTTTTTTTTATTTAAATAGTATAATCTCTTAATTTAGAATTTGTGCATAGTCTTTTAAAAAGTATCTTAAACTTAGGTTTTTTTTTTTCTTAATACATGAAGACATTGATATGCGTGTACAGGCATTTCTAATACATTCTAAGTTTAAATCTCATATAACCCTCTAAAGTAAAAACTCTTTACAAACACACACACTTTTATACACTTTTTTAAAAGTATGACTGTCTTTGTAAACTGTCAAGTCTAATTTCTTTTTTTTTTTGCATAGAAGAGTTGGGGTGTAGGTCAGAGGTATGAGTGTGTTGGTTCACCAGAGACAGAGTGTGGAGCAGAATAGGTGGGTTTACTGAAATACATTGCTGACCTGCAGCGGGCAGGTCAGAGAGGTCTGCTGTGCCACGTGGGTTAGCTCCCTGGCTGGGGATCAAAGTCACGCCTTAGCAGTGATAGTGCTGAGACTTAATCCCTGGGCCACCAAGGAGGCCCCAGACTAGCCTGACTTCCGAACTAAAATTCTCAGTTTGGGCCTGACCAGTCCAGAGCTGCTGCCCTTCATGAGCTGTTTTGCGGTTTGCTTCATAAAAACTCGGCTATCAAGCACCGAGAACTTGAAGCGCTCTGTCCTTCAGGAGGCCTGCATCGTGTCTGATCAGCGCTGACCGCCTTTAATTCCCTCTCTTTACTCTGCACAGGGAACAAGTGTCCTTTCTCCCTTCCTCCACATTGGATCAGTGATTACATTAGCTGCGATGATCTACAAGAAATCAGCAGTTCAGCTTTTTGAAAAGCATCCCTGTCTTTATATACTGACATTTGGTTTTGTATCTGCTAAAATCACTAATAAACTTGTGGTAAGCACCAAAATTTTTAAATTTTTTTAAAAATTCTCATCTTTCTTTAGTTTTATGAGCCTACATTTTATTCTGTTACCTCCTATTCCAGAGTTTGCTTTCCTTCAGTTTAGTCTTTTCACACCAACCAGGAAACTTTTTACCCTCCTGTGAAGCTATAGCTTGTGGCTCCCAGAAGCCCCTTGAGCTCTGCAACTCTTCTCCTTTCTGTGCACAGTTTAATCTGGTTCTTTATTTTATCTGCACTCTGCAGTCTTAGTCTGCATCCTCACAGGCTCTTGTGTAGCGTGTTTTGGTGGCCTGTCCCTCAAGAGTTTAGTTCTCACAGCCACTTGATGTCACCAGTTTTTCAGTCTTGCAAATTCCAAAAGGTATTTCTTACTAATTCTTGCAACTCAGTAGTTGAGCTCAAGCTGATTGAATGTGTGCTACATAGCCGCACAGATGCAGATGCTCACGGCGTTGACTCGTCTCACTCACAGGTGGCGCACATGACAAAAAGCGAGATGCATCTGCATGACACGGCGTTCATAGGCCCAGCACTTTTGTTTCTCGACCAATATTTTAACAGCTTTATTGATGAATACATCGTACTTTGGATTGCCTTGGTAAGCATTGTACTTTGCCCTATTTCGCCATTTGGAGGCAACTTGTATTCCCATTTCAGTGGGCTGGTCCTGAGCAGCAGGTCACGTAATGACTCAAAGTGCCAGAAAACACACTGATGGGACTTTGTGACAGAGCTTCAGGCGGCATCTTTCAGACATGTTTGGCCTTCATCAGAGCTCATCACAGACTTCTGACTGATATGGCTAGAGGTGACAACATCCTGTGGGCAGTGGCCTCTTGTGTCCCTTAAGTTCTACTGAAGCACAGCCCGCTCATTCATTTATGTATTGCTTAGTGCTGTTTCACCTCTAGTGGCAGAGCTGAGCAGTTGTGCCAATGAAGGTTTGGCTCTCCAAGCCTAACCACGTACTGTTTTTGTTGGCTGATCATTTGTGTAAAGAAAAGGTTCATGAGGAAACTGCATTATTGAATTGTATGGAATTGAAGGGGGATCTAACGAGAAGAAAGCCAGAGAAGAAAGCCAGAGGCCGCTCTTTACTTCATTAAGCAGAGGGAAGCCCTGAGCGGGTCCTGAGAATCTAATGGTCTTTTTTTTTTTTCCAGGTTTTCTCTTTCTTTGATTTGATCCGCTACTGTGTCAGTGTTTGCAATCAGATTGCGTCTCACCTGCACATACATGTCTTCAGAATCAAGGTCGCTGCAGCTCACTCTAATCATCATTAATGACGTAATCGGTGTCATGTGGGAAAGTCACGTTTTCTGCTGGGAAGAATCTGAACATATTAAGGAGAATGGGATGGATAAGAACAAATATAATTTATAATAATCAATGTTGTGTAACTTTTCTTCTTTGTTATTGGTAACACTCCTTAACTATCCTGTGTGAGAATGGGAGTTTCTGGTCCCATCCTGTAAATCATACATAATGTTGTACAGGGGTTGGCCCAGGAAAGCATGCAGGAACAAATGCCATGGGTTTATAATTATTCTGGATTCAGGAGAGAATTGTCATGGGGAGCAGGTCCTCGTGGTGGAGATTTCTAATGTAGAAACCAAAAGGTGGTTGCTTTATAATTTTAACAAATCATCATCTTTTAGTGGCATCCTTGTTTAGTATGTTCTCAAGCTTTCTTTACTAAGGAGCTCAGCTGTGGCACTGATGTATCCCACTAGCTTGTGAGGTGGAACTAGTGATAAAGACCTTGACTTTTGGATCAAAAGGTTTCTTACCTTTACATTGTTGAAGTCTTTTTTTTTTTTTTTTTTTTTTTAATTGCTCAAGAAATGGTATCTCTTGTGGGCTTGGGAAATCCTGTTAGCATGCAAAATAATGTGGTAATTTTGTCGATTCATTTTATTTTTTTAAATAAATATATGATCTGAAAGCCAGACTTTTCTCAATTTCATTCATTGGAAAGATAATTTGAATGTCATTTTCTAAAATTCAAGTGAATTTTCTGTTCTTTAATGAATATGGAAATTAGGTCAGCTGCACTGGCATTATGTGCCCTGTGGCCTTTGTATAAACTTTAATGTAAAAAAACTTCATTTGCTTTCCCTTTAGATAGGTTTTTAGTTGTAGTTGCCACTCTTGAGAATTGCAAGTCTTCTGGGACTTGAACCCTCCCAGACTTTTTAGTAATTGCCTGGACTTTTATTGAAATTTTGCGCATTCCTTTTCTGGCTACTCAGTATTTACACTACAGCCTGAAGTCAGAATCAGGAGTCCTCGGTAACTATAAACCAGATTGCTTTCCATTGCATATAGATAGCTCAGTTGTGTGAAGAAAGGGAGACAGCAGAAAAGTTTCAACTATTGGCCAACATGATGTGTTTTATTAATTTTGATTTAGACCCTGATTCCACAATCATGGGTAAATTATATATGGCACTGCTTTGCCTGGCTGTCACAACTCCACTTTCTCATACATTTGATGATCCCATTAGTCCCATGTAATTTGGATTAGCGGCAACAGTGAAGCTTGGCGTTTATTTTCTAGACTGTTACAGAAAAGGGAACTGTCACCTTTGCTTGTTAGCAAATTCTCTAGCATCTAGGGTGTAAAAGGGCACACAGTAAAATGTGAAGGCAGCTTAAGTTTTGAAAGTAAGAGAAAAAAAGAAGGATAATCTGACTTATTTGGCAGTTACATCTTACTTGATTATTACAGTAGTCACAACATGTGTTCCTTACCTGCAGTGGAAGTTGGGGTCTAGAGATGCTGAATGGTATGCCCGTCACACCGTTGGTTGCTAGTATGTAATCAACAGGGGCCAGAATGTAGAACTGAATCTTGGCGGAGTATTCTCTCTTATACCGTACTAGATTTTACAAGGCTAGGCTGTCAGACAAAATGCTAGAATTTTTTTCTATGTAAAGGGAATCTTAAAATGTCTAGATACTTGGTCTGCGCCTCCTTCCAGCCCTAGGTACCGCCAAAATCAGCTGGAGGATCCATGTGTAGTAAACCTCAGCTCACTCTGATTCTGATAGTGATCTTCTACTTGATTTGGTACCAAAATCAGCAGAAAAAGCCTCAAGAATACAGATTCCCAGGTCCTTTGTCTAGAGATGATTTGGTAAGTTTGGGATGAGAACGCAAACAAAATACATGTTTCTCAGAAGTCTAATCCTTGTTCTAAAACTTTCTGAATTGCAACTAGGTTTAGGAACCACTGCCATAAACCAAAGAGACACAATGAAGAGTAAGCTGATGCCCTTGGCCTGATTGTTAAAGGGACAAAGTTCCACCCCACGTGATCAGGAAAGCCACCTCTAGCTTGTCAAAAAGTAAGACAACCTTCACTTGGTTATGCAGCTTGCAGCTGAAGGGATCAGTGGTGGTTCTGTACACTTTGTTGAGGCTTCTGCTTTCTCTGATGCCACTTGTCCGGTCCAGAGGGTCGTGTGTGTGGTGTTCAGCCACCGAGTGTCTGCTTTTCGGACTCCAAAGACAGGCGGCAGTCTTTCCTGCCAGCAGTGGAAGCTTCGCTGTTACTGTCTAGTCCTCCTTTCCTCATCTATGAATGTGATTTCAAAATCTAAGTCATGAATCTACTTTTTTATTAAAACAAAAGGTTTATATGAAAGAAAATGATAAAAAAGAAAAAGCTATAAAGAACAGCAGCACAGTAGGGGTGGTGTGAAGACAGTGGACTGCCACCTGCAGTCCATCTCTGCCCCCTGAATTAATTACATAGGCCTTTACCTGTATCTGGTCATCCCTGCTTCTTTTCCCACCCACCAAAAACATTTGTGTCGTCTGTATAGAAAATAAGCACCCCATAGTCATAGACACATTCGCAAAACATGAAATTTTTAAAAGTCAAGATTTTTCTAAAGACTTCCTATCTCTTGCAGTGTTTAAACAAAAGCCGTCAGCAGAGGTAGGGCCAGAGGAAAGACGGGCCTCTAGGGTCCTTTGGGCTCGTAGGACTGTGATTCCCTTTTGTAAAGGGAAAATGTCAGTGCTGAAGCCCACCCTGCCCCCACCACCTTTGCCCAAAGAGTTGAACCAGGCACGAAGCAATGGAGGAGGGAGGAGGATGTCTTAACAGACAGCTCCAAACTGACCGACTGGCACAGACTCCTACCGGTGGAAATCCCGTTACTGGATTCTGCCTGCAGCACTGACCCTGGCTGGTCTCTCCTCCCAGTGGCCCCTCTTGCCAGGCCCTCCTCTCTGGTCAGTGTATTTCTACATTTACTGCCTCATCTTCCTGGCTCTCCCCCTATGGTGGAATCCAAAGATGCACACACAAGCCACTAGATCTTTGCTTTATTCTTATCCTCACAGGTTCACAGAACTCTTACTTTATGTGACGAGACTGAGCCTTTAGGTCACAACTGTTTTCTCAGTTGAGGATTTTGTAGTAGTGGTTCCTGGGAAAGGACAGTTGCAGCAACTTCTAACTAAGCGCTAGAACACACACATGATCTGCTCTGTGTCACCTACGCGGAAATGCAGCTTCGGACCCAACTCTGTACCAAGTTGGAGCCTTCCAAAGTCCTGAGAAAGCCAACTCCAGCATCCAAACTTAGACACCAGCTGGATGTGTGACTCCTGGCTGCCCAGGAGTCCGAAGAAAGCCATGGATTCTGGAGGCTGAGAGCTTCGTGGATCCTGGCAGCTGGCAGGGGCCAAAGTCCAAAACTGGCCTACAGGTTGAATCAGTCCTATTCAGCAATGCTTATTTCACAGTCTTTTCTCTTGATTTCTTCTGTTTCTTCTGTTCCTCAAATTCAAGTATTTTCTGTTGAAAATAGCCTGTAATTCAGATACGAGTGTTAGAGTACCTCATCTGGTCAGCCAGTTCTCAGAGGCTACCTGAGAGCCAGGTACCCACTGGGACTCAAGGGGCCTACAAATGAGAAATGGTGGGAGTTTGCCTCTGACTAAAGAGAAAAGGGCCTGGCCCTGCTGCCCTTGAGTGGAACAGCTTTTCCAAGGTGTGAGCCCACTGTGTCTCTCCCTCTCCACTCCAGGCTATGCCTGACTGGGAGGCCCTCTCCAGACGAGAGCTAAGGAGGCTGTCACTCTACCTGCTGGAGGGTTCTTGCTCTTCTCGGCTTCCTGGATGAAGAGGGAGAAGAGCTGTGTCTTCACAAACTTCTTCACAAATCGCCGGATGGTCTTGGAGTTTACTGCCTTGCAGAAGGCCCGTTCTTGGAAGTGGCCTTGCCCATCCGCTTCCCTCTTGATGTAGGAAGTGTAGTGACCCACAGTCTTCACAAAGAACTTCACAAAAGGACTTGACACGTGCTCGTTGATTTGTTCTAAAGCTGCAGGCATCATAGAGAGGCCATGTCAGGGAAGCTGACAGACGAAGATACCCACTCTTACCTCCAAGTGGCTTCCGCTGCAGACTGAGGGCTGCGGGGAAGGGGCTGGGCTAGGACACACTGGTGTGGATGCACTGACTGACATGGCAGGTTGAGTCTGGGTTCTCCATGGGGGCTCAGGAAGGATAAAATTGCATACTCAGACTTGCCCTAAAATCTAGACCTCTGGGGTTGGCTTGGTACTGCTGAGTGAATTTATCTTACTTCTGGAAAAACATGGCTAGGGATCATGGCTTCATTATCCTTGGGGAAAAAAGTGGGGTCTAGAACTTACTCTGTGAACCATTGATGCCCTGGCCAAGGCATTCTAAGATCTCATCCTGAAGCTTGGGTGGTAGGATGTCATTTTCATCACCAACCTAGGAGAGGAAGAGGCAGCTCAGGTCAGGCAGGGATGAGGTTTTAGGAGAGAGTATGAGCCAGGCCTGACTACCCTCCCACTCTATCCCCACGAAGAGGCCACAGAGATCCAGCAGAAGCTGTTTCCCAGTCTTCCATTTGACTCAGAATGCTAGCAACTCTCTCTCTGGTCCTGTGGTAGGGGTATATGTCCTTTCTCTAAAGGCCCAAGCACTGATTGCCTTGAGATATCGACTGTGTCACAGGCCCCTTGAGAAAAGACAGGTGTTACTGCATGGATTCTGACGCCACTAAAGTATGGAGTAAGCGGGATAAGATAAGTGATTGAGTTCATGATGGGCCTGAAGGGGATCAAATCCAGATACTCACTGACATTAAGAAGATTCCTTCATGGAGATTCACCAACAGGACCTGAAATAAGCACAGAACAGCTTTTTCTCTTCCCCTTTCTTCACAGACCTCAGAAGCCTTCACCATCTCCATTTCTACCTACAGCTGTACCTTTCAGCCCAAATAGCAACAAAAATCCACATCTTCAGTTCTCATTTTCTGCCTGACAATCTATACTTTGTCACCACTTCTCTCTTTGGAAATCTGTTTCCTTCCTGAAGAAAGAGGATCAAGGCGTAGGAAAGGGGCCAGAGGAGAGAGCTCGGGTAAAAGGGGAAAACAATATGGGGAAACCATAGCTTGTCACCCCTGACTAAAACGGGTCACAGTAATTGCTTCTCTATATGGAATTGTCAGCCCTTGACACATGTAAGTGCTGTGCAAGTTTTCTCTTTTAATCCTCCCAGCAGCCCTTAGGGGCAGGTTCCATTCACCCCTATTTTATAGCTAAAGAAACAGGCCAAAGAAGTCCATGGCCTGCAGTCACGCTACTAACACACAGAAGCAATTCTCAAGCCGAGAAATGTCCTGTCCTTGTGATTACAGCTTTCTGCCTGCAGCTCCCTCCCTTTGGTCAGCTTCCGGACAAGTGTGGGCATTTTTTGGTTGTTTGATTCTTGCTATAAGCTTTTTGCAGCATTGCCTAGAGTTCTATTTTTAAAACTTCCTCTGGGTCTTCCACCAGGAAACAGCAAGAGAAGGAAAGGAGCCTTGGTTCAACAGGAAGAGGGAAGAAAAGGCAAGACAGACAAGCAAGGGTTGGAACCTGGAGACCTGAGATCTGGAATCAGCTCCATCACTGCCCAAGGGACCTTCAGTCTGGACCAGAGATTGCAAAGAGGCATGTACTTGGTTGGATTCCAGATCTATTTCTCTGATACTCAGAGAACTTTTAAATCATTGAATTCATTTCCAGTCTTTACATTGGAAAGTCAGACATCAAATTTGGATCTGAGGCTTCTGAAAATTTGGATCTGAGGCTCTCCCCCTGGTTTCTGAAGGATAACACTCAAATGGAACTGAATACAACCACCCCCTTTCTGCAGTTACCACAAACCTCCCCTTCCCCCAAGCCCGTTCTGGTCATTTAAATGCCTGCTGGAACCCTCATTTCGGTTTGTGACCTTTGGTCTCGACAACGGGGTGAATGTTCCTTCTGTACCCTTCTTCCCAATAAAGAGAGGGGCTGGAAAATGTGCCAGAAGACAGAGCAGCCACCGCAATTATCCAAACTAGGGGAGAACGCTGAACTAGTCCAGGCCTGAAATCGCTTGTATATAGAGGCGTAGACGCCTCTATTTGGGGAGGGCTGTTCCTCTTGGGGGCTGGGATTAGAGAGTGTGTGAAGAATTTCCTTGTGAAGTTGTTCCCAGAAATCCTCCCAGTTTTTGGTCTATTACTGCCTGTTAAGTAAGCCTTTCCAGAGAGTTTATATATGGGGAGTCAAGCACCCCCTACCCCGACTGGGACCCTGACTCATCTATGTCCATTTCACAGGGAGCTACCAAGTAGTGGTCTAGGCCACGGCCCGTGGGTGCAGGGGGAAGTGTTGGTGGGGGGCGGTGGGCTTCCCGCCTGGCAGTCGAGGGAGGAGTCAGCTTCTAAGGAGCTGCAGCATCAGGAAGTTTCATAACTTCTGGCACTGGGACATTTTCATCTTATTGCTAAACATGAGGCTGATCCTCTGGCCCAGTTAGTCACAAGGCAAAGACTTGTTCAAAGGGCACGTGTACTGGGCCGGGAAGCAGGGAGGGGAGCAGTGTGCTGCTTTGCTTCCAGCAACACTTGGTGTAAGTCTGTCTGCGCGTGATTCCAGCCTTGCCTCTGCGGGGGCAAGCCCACCCTCAGGGCTGGTCCCAAGCCTCTTCAGTAGCTTACTCTGGCCCTGTCTCTCCCCTTAATAGGTGTTTGTCTGCTGGGGAGGCAATGGTCAGCTCTTTTGGCTTGCAAAGACAGTAACAAGCCTGCCTTCAAAAATTCTTCAGGCAGCTGGAAGCAGAGCACAGGTGCATGTGGTTCTCCCAGCCCCGAGACAGGTTGACACTCTTCATGCCCGTTTTCACCATGGAGGCCACTGCTATATCTGGGGCATTGCCAAGAAACGAGAGGCTAACACAGTCAAAAGGGCTGGAAAGTACGTCTTCATCAGCCAATTGAGTTCTGAGCCAATCAGAGAGTAACTGACTGCTGCAAAAATCTGCATTTTCAAGACTTGTGGTTTGCAGGAGGGATATATTGTTAGCTCACTTCCACAGAACTGAGTGAATTCCAGAAGCCTGCATGGGTACAGCTGTGCTCCATTCAGATGAAAGCAGGGACGCTCCAGAGCCTGCTCACCAGGGCTGGCCGGCCCGGACAGCGGGCTGACCTCTGGATATGTGCTGTCTGCTGGGCCCCAGGCGAAGCATCCAGGAACAGGCAGCAGACTCACTGAGCATTAACTGCGTGCCAGGCATCAGACTAGGCACTTTATGCAAGTTATGTCCTCCATGACCCTGGGAACTGAACACCGTTATCCCCATTTTACAAATGAGGACGCTCAGGCTTGCAAAGGTTAAGCGACTCTCCAAAGCACACAGCCACTGGCAGAGAGGGTGGGAAGCCAGGGCCACCTGCCCGCCTCCCGCCTGTCCTACCTCTTCCATGGGGTTGTCCATCACGTCCTGCAGAAAGCGCTTCTGTACTCCAAGCATGAAGGGAGTGGGGGAGCAGACAGTGGCCAGGAGGCTCTCGGGGACAACAGGGATGTAGGTGTGGGCCCAGTTGAAAGGGTAGAGCAGTGCGGCGGCCGCGTGGATACACTGAGACAGGGTGCTTGAGGCAGGGTACAGGGAGCGAGAGTCAGGAGGGCCTCCCCGCACCTCCATCCCAGGGACCCCGCCGGGCCCACCCTGCAGGGGCTGCAAATGCTGCCTGGAGCGCAGAGGCAGAAACCAGGAGGGCTGGGGCCCTCGTCAGGGCTGGAGCCTCGAGTCAATGCATTTTTTCCCCAGTTAGTCTCCCTAACTCACTACTGGCCCCAAATAAAAGTGGCTCCAAAGAGGAGGGAAGAAGAATTCTTTAGTCACACAGATGGTGGCTGGAGTGCCTTCCAGATGCTCAAGTGGGCACAGTGACTGCTTGGAAGGAACTGGCCATGCAGCAAGGAAGAAAACTTGGAAACGATGGGCGTAGCAGCAGCCAGCCCTTATTTCCTTATCTGTGTATCCTCATCACTCACTCACCTTTCATGGCTCCCTCTGGCCATATTGTGCATTTAAAATTCGGTGCCTGAGTTGGCTTGGGAAATTCCTGGATTCCAGGAAGATCTGCCTGGCAGTTCCTACCTGGAAAGTCCCACAGAGGAAGCTCCTCTGTCCTGGCCAGCAAAGCGTTCCCTGTGCACTCCCTCCCGGCACAGCCTCACTCCTCACCTCCCTGCTCCACATGCACAGCCCTGCCCCGGGGTCTGCTCTGGGCTCTCCTGCCTCCCATGGCTGCACATCTCCACATCGCTCCAAAGTCAAGGCCAATAAAAACACACGTGCGGAAACCCTGTTTCAATTCTGGGTATCAAGCCAGGACTTCCTGAGCGAAAAAGATGGAATCTCTGAGTATCTGGTCGAGACTCTGGCTGACTGGAAGTCCCCTCCCTACCCGGGGATCTGAAAAGCTGGCTGTGGGAAGGAAGTGTAGAGTGGAGGAACATCCTGGAGTGTGGATGCCGAGAGCAAGACCCGCCAGCCTCCACAAAGTCCAGGCGTGGACACCTAAGTCACTGTTACTTCCTAAACACTGGTCTTATGATGAAGCCCAGAATCCCCACTCCAGCCACAAGAGAACTTCCCTCGAGAGCTCAAGAGCTATTTCTAAAGCAAAAGGTCTTATGTCACTTGTCTCCAGGATTAGCCCATAATGAGTTCTGTTGGGTAATGAACTTTCAGCCCACAGGTCTCCCTCCCTGCCCAAACTTCCTTTCCTCTAAAACCCATGAAACATCCTCTTGACCACTGGCCTACCACTGGGCTCCTATATAGCCTTTTCTTCTTCTTCTCTAAAATACAGAGCCAGGCTTTCTCCTCCCCTGGACGTGAACAGGTCGTACGTGGCTGCGTTGCCTGTTTTTTCTCCCATTCTCTCCCATATCTCCTCAGGCCTTTCTCAGATCTGACACACCGAAGAGGCAGGGCCCCAGACATGCCAGTGCTTTCTTCCGAGTGCCCAGGGATATTCTCAGCTGTGACCTCTATGAAGAATAACAGCGCCTGAGAGGGCCGCCGGTCCCTAGTGTGCCCGGCAGCAGTGACTCCCCACTGCAACCTCAAAGGTAGGTACAACCATTATCTCCACGTCACAGAGAAAAAAGTTTAGAAACCAACCTCAGGAGAACCACGTAACTAAAGAGGAAAGAACAGGACCTTCCCTGCATTCTGATGATTTCAACACGATGTTCTCAGCCACAGAATTCCACACCCTTCTAAGGTCAACAACCTGGTCTGTCCGTACTTTGCCAATGCTTGGCATCTGGCAGCCAGTGACACACCAGAAATGTCAGCTGAGTGAGTGGTAGGTGGACAGATGGGGGGCCTGACCTCCACGCCATTACCTTCCAGCTGTCCTCCGCCTCTCTCTCCCTCCACCTTTCAAGGCTCAGTTACACCTGTACCCACCCTGGTCTCCACCTGGCTATCTCCCGGACACTCATGCCTTCTCACTGCTAAATCAGGAACATTCTCAGGGCTTAGGCAGCTATTGAGTCTGGAGGCAAAACAGGTGGGAACAGTCTCTCCGGGCGAGTGCAGGTTAAGGGCGGGAGCAGGAGGGTGAGTGTGGGTGCTGCCCTGGTTTCCTTCAAGAACCTGCTGTTCTGCTCCCTTGAACCCAGAACTAACTGCCACTCTGGGGGAGCCGTCCCAAGTTGGGACTCACCTGAGATCTTCTGCCAGGAAGATGATTCTTCTCTCCATCACCACAGAGGCAAAGATCTGAAGGATCTGCTCGAAATGGAGACACTTCCACAGAGATCTGAAATCCACGTGTTCTAGGTGGGAATCCAGGGGCCGCGTGAGTGAGATGAACTGTGGGAAAGCAGAACAGGACATGGACCCCAGGATACTGGGCATCTCCCGTCTCCACTCCTTTCTCCCCACCGCGCTGATCTGAACATGTTTCTTCCACCTCTGGGGTCCCTCTGCTCCAAGGGGTGCTATCCCTAGTGTGTCCCCCGGGGCCCCCGAGCCTCCCTGAGTGCACCCTGCCCCTCACGGTGGTTCTCTACTTCAGCTCCTGCCTGGTCCTTGAGCCCAGTGTGCGCCTTTCTGCCTGAGGTCCCTCACAGGCCCTTTCCTCCCTCCAGGTCAGAGGTCACTTTGGCCCCCTCATATGGTGTGGTTCCCCTCCCCCCCCCATTTTCTCTGTGGTTTCCTGTGTATCACAGTCATACAATTTTTAACTCCTATTTACTTTTTGTTCCTTTCATGCCTGTTTTTCCCCTTAGACTCTCAGTTCCACAAGGCCAGAGGCCATGTCTCACAGTGGGCATTCCATACTTATTTTTTTAAGTAAAAACATCATAGATGGACACAGGGATTACCCAGTGTACGAGGGATCAGGACAGATTCTTAAAAGAATGTTCTACCTGCTTAGTGTCTTAAAACAAAGTCATCTCTGTGTGGAAAGGGTGGGGACCCAGGGGTGGGGCTGGGTGATAAGAGACTGATCGAGTTCATAAGGGAGGGAAACAGGAGGACCAGGGAGAGGGCTGGGGGCCAGTGGCTGCTTGGGCCCAGGGGGTGAAGTCCATTCTAGCACCAGGAACCTCTGCTTACAAGGTTTTATTTGTTATAAGTGAAAGTTCTGGTTGCTTGAATGAAGACTAAGTCCTTGTGAACATCTGCTTGGGGGGATCAGAAAAATCCAACAACTCTACCAAAATTCTACCAAGCCCCAGCCCCTGCTGACTTGGCGTCTCTGTATCCTAGCCTGCTGAGTGGAAGGAGCATGACCAAGGTGCCGCAGAAGCCCACCTTCTCCTGCCAGGACGAACCCCACCAGGCTGCTGACCCACCTCTGTGCCTGAGTCAGGGATGAAGCTCTTGAGGGTGACAGTCTTTCCAGGAGCGGGGAAGGCCGCCTCTCGGAGGCCCTGCATGAACGGGTAGATGACAGCCGTGGAGATCTGGTGCCGCTTTTCCACTTCATCCAGGATCTGCAGGGAGACCCACCGAGGTAGGGCTCACAGGAGCTCCCCGCGGCAGCGGGACCCTGCGAGGCTCGGAGCCATCTGCACGTCCCCTAGGCGCCTCCGCCGGCCGGTTCCTGTCCTCCCTGCCAGGGACTGGTCGCCCACCAGGCAATCTCCTGCAGAGACTCGATTTTTTTCTACCCTTCTTTTCATCCATCCTCTACCAATCCATGATCTTCCCTCCCCCTAACATCACCATGAAACTATCTTCCCCAGGAAGTCACCCCAGAGGACAGCTGACCCTTGAACCCCCAAGACTAGGGTTCAGTGCCCAAAATTCACATGTAGCTTCTGACTCCCCCAAAACCTAACAGCTGATCGCCTGTTGTTGATGGCCACCTGTGCGTGGTAAACACGGCCCAGTAACGCTGGTGGAGTTTCCTCCCTTCACCCCCCAAGGGTGCTCCCTGAGAATCCCTTGCTGACCCCCACACTAGTGGACAGACTCAGATTAGTTTCTGTGGAAAAGCAGGCAGCTTCAACTTCTTTTCTACCTCCAAGACATTGGAGGGCACCTCACCTCTCGCCATTGGAGGGCACCTCACCTCTCGCCTCCCTGAGCCTCACCCCACCTGTGAGTGGGAAGTGGAGAGGGGTCATTGTGTGCATTTGCCAGATGAGGAGACTGACCTCTGGGCACAAAGCTGACAGCCCAGCCTGCTCCCCCTGCCCCCAGCTGCTCTCTCACCTGACTAGGTGGGGAGCAGGGAGTCTCTGCAAGGGAGAGTCCCCAAGGTTCAGCTTCCCCCTGGGGGCCCCAGCACCCCCAGCCGTGAGGCAGCAGGCGTGCGGAGGGCCCAGGGCAGGCTGCCAGGTGGACCTGAAGCCAAACAGGCTGAACAGGCCCCGAGGAATTCCGCTCCACCCCTACCTTGGAGAACAAGCCGAAGCAGCCGAGGCAGCTGATGATGCAGTAGACCTTAGGGAGGCGAGGGCCACCGCCAGCTGGCTGTGGAGGGACAGAGAGGCCCCCTCAGTGCCACAGCTCCTCGGGGAGATGGGGCACGAGGCTGGTGGCTGGGGCGGGTCTGCAGAGAAAGGCTTGGCTCTCAAGGCCCCATTCAGTGAGAAGGCAACAGTATGGCCGCCAAAGTGGAGGGGACAGGGTGGGCTCACTGCCAGCACCACCTCCATCAGTGCCAGCACCACCCAAGGGGGCCCATAAAGAGAGGGAGCAAATGTGTCTAGAGGGACTGGGGATGGCAACACTGCAGAAGTGACTTGGCAAATCCTCCTGAGACCCAAGCGTTGGGCCTCGTCTGACTCCCAGTGTGTGCTTGCAGATTCCAGGGCCATGCTGACAGGGGCTGGCTGGAGGCTCCCCAGGGGGCAGCTGTAGAAAGCTAAGGCCCGCAAAGACCAAAGCACACCCAGCAGAGGTCCCCCCCGGGGGTGGGGGGGGCGTGTTCCCCATTCTTGTGGGTTTCTACTGACTTGGCAGTGACCCCACAAACACCATTGCCAGGGAGCCTTGGCTTCTGCAGACAAGGCTCAGTCAGCCCAGAGAAGAGCAGCGGGCTACCGAGCAAAGGGGCCATTTCTGAGCTGCACAGACCAAGACGCGCCTGCAGTATCCAATCTTCCTGCTCCCATCCACGTTGGTCAGCACGAAGGAGAAGGTCTCCCTAGAAAAGCAGACAAGACCCGGTTTGCACTGGCTCCCTAGCTGCTAAAATAGGAAGGTGGTCGGTGCCAGAGGCGTGTGGTGGGGGCGGAGGGCGGGTCGGAGGATGAAGGGGAGCTGCTGACTAATCACCAGGGCAAGAAAAGCACCAGGAACTTATTAAGTGCTTATTGGTGTCAAGCCAACTCTTTGAGCTGGGTTCAGTGGTTACCCCCACTTTAAAGATGAAGAAACTGAGAACTGAGAGGGTGTTTCTTGCCCAAGATCATGCCATAAGTGGGAAACCAATTCTGAACTCGGGCAGACAAACTCTAGGGCTGTGCAGTGAGGGACTGGCCAGATTGCCGACCTGAGGTCACAGACTTGAGCCCATGGCAGAGTCAAAAGACCGTGACTCTCACAACTGGGAGGCTTTCACCATCCCTGGACAGAGTGGCCAGTCAACTCCATAAGTTAAGAGACTTGACCCTGAGAAATCCCATTCAAGATGTTTATATTTGAGTCGATTCTAGTCCTCGGCATCAGGAGGGGAACTGGGTACAGTCAGCACACATGCACGCGCACACGCACACACAACACACACACACACACACACGAGGTGAAGGGGTCTCTAGAACTACACAGCTCATGCTTGTCCCTTCTCCCCACCCCAGAGCCTGCTCCCACGTTCCTCCAGCTGCTCTCTCATCTGACTAGGCTGGGAGCAGAGTGTCTCTGTAAGGGAGACAATCCCCAAGGTTAGCTTCCCCAAGGGGGCCCCAGCGCCCCCAGCCATGTGCCAGGGCTGAGCAGTTACCTGGGGTACTCAGTGAGTGGGACCCACTCGTTCCCATCTGGGAAGCAGAACAAAGGGATGGCTCCAAGCAGTCGCTCCTCCTCCTCCTGTTGGCCCCGAAGCAGGTTCTCCCTCTACAGGAATAAGAGACCAGTGGGTTGTGGGGGTACAGGCAGGAAGGGCTGAGGGCTGGTGGCTTTCTGGGACTCCAGTAGTCTGAGACATAGCTTCTCTGCTGGTATGGGACCCAGACAGCCTCTGTGTGGCCATCTGCACAGGGACTTCATTCCGGGTCTGGCCATAATGACCCCACGACAGAAACAGCATGACCTGGCCACAGCTGCATGGCCATGAGCTGACCTGCAGTATCCTGCAAACCTATGCAGTCAGGAATGGGGTCAGGGCCACAGTGAATACAGGAAGCTCCAGAAATGGCCTGGCTTTCCAGAAGGAGGTCAAAGAGATATCACATCAGAGAGAAGCCACTAGCTCAGGGCCACACCCTGAAGGTTAAAGAAAAGAATCCCCCCCCCTCCCCTACCCCAGGTTGGGGTACCCCAGACAAGAAGGAACCTGGGCTGTGGCCATAGGTGGAGCCTGCCCCCCAGTTGAGTGGCTCCCCCACCCAGCCCAGGGAGGAGGATGAAATTTGGAAGAACAGGTGGTTCTAAAGGGGCAGAAGCACTGACCTAGTTTCCCAGCTAGGGCTTCATAAAGAAGTCAGAACTAGATTCCGCTGGTGATAACAGAAAACAGGGTTGGGCTAAGGAGGAAACAGCCAGCTCAGGGCATTTCTAGATTCAAGCCCTGGCAGGCTGGGGAGGGAGCAGGTACCCCCACCCACCTCTCAAAAGTCCCAGTGCTCTGTCTCCCCTGGCGCCTTTCAGTCCTTACCTTGGGAAACTGGTAGGTGATTGTGGGCTCATAATCATTTCCTGAGCGCTTTTTTTTGAGGGAAACCACGACAAGGTATTCAAAGAAGTGTTGTCCTCCACCAAAGTTGGATAAACTGTACTCCTGCGTCCTTTCTGGTTCCTTTCCCACGGCCCCTACGTTGTCCAGGGAAGGTGCTGAAACCAAACACAGGGTCCATTTGCTGTTTCATGGCTTCCAAATGAGGTCTGTGAGAGTCTGGGCAGTGTCTGCCCCTCGGGGCTGCTGTCTTCAGAGCCTGCCCAGCACCTCAGGTCACAGATAGGATCAGAGCCAACCGTTTCTGTGCTCAATCTGGGAGATTTGAAACCACGTGGCACCAAGAGGAAGAGATTATCCACTGATTTGGAAGACAAGGGAATATCCTGGAGGCCACCTGGGAGGCGCCTGCCCCAGGCCTCAGAGACTCTGCAGCCCAAGGGGCTCAGGGCTACTCTGGAACAGCATACCCCAGCAGACTTGGGTTCACAGAGCTTGTGGCCATGACTACACCAACCCCAAGAGGCCTGGCCCACTCTCAAAATCACCAGGAGAACCTTCCAGCCCAGTCACATGGGGGGGAAGAGGGGGCCAGGTGGAGGTCAAGATATAAGCCCAAAAGGAGGAAGAAACATTTCAAGGAAGAACAGCCCCATCTAAGAGGGCCACCCTGGAAAAAAGGAAGTGGGTAACACAGCCCAGACCTGCTTGGAGTCCAGGCGGCCGTTTTTTCCGGAAGAGCTTGAGCATGCCGCCTATCGCTGGTCCTTCCATCTTCTCCGGCCTGTGGAGCATGGGGTTGTCCCCTCCCCTCCCACACAGACCGGCTAAAGGAAGCCAGAGGACAAGGCTGCCGCCTCAGTCTCCTGCCAGAATGCTATGAAGCCCGGCCACGCGCTGTCTTCCAGAAAGAGCAGAGCAGTTTCCATACTGTGCACCTACTGCTTGAGCAAGAAGGATGTGACGGGCCCAGGAGGCGGCTTGAACGCCTGCACCCGCAGTGGAGCATCCTGGCACTGCAGCTCAGACCTCAGCTCCTCCCCAGAGCCTCGGGGTGTGGTGAGAAAAAGGTCACAGCAAACACCTGTGAGCAGGGCTTTGAATGCTGGGCTGCAGGCTGTGCGAGGGGCTATTAACCTCAGGACAGCAGAGATGCCTGGGAGCAGCCGATGGTGCCCAAAGACAGGGATCTTAACATCTCTGCACGACAGATTCCTGACCTTTCACTTCTTGACTTGCTCAACAGTACGAAAGCCCCTGCAAGGCCACTGCTGCCCAAAAGAACTTCTGCAGCTGCAGGTCTTGTCCCCTGAGCACCGGACCCACCTGTCGGGATCACACCACCTCCCTATATAATGGCTAAATAGACAGGACCCCTAATGAGCTAAATGGAGAAGATGTGCTAACAAAGGGAGTCCTGCAGATCATCGTGAACCTAAAAACCTCTTCATCAGGTGCTGAAATAGAGCAAAGACCACCTCTGAGCTGGGAAAGGAGGGTCTTCCGGACTACCCAAGGGTATGTCTCTTGCCTTTTGCAACATGTCCTGGGCTAACATGGGCGTTTCTCACTGGGGCCTGATCCCAGGCTCTAGCAAGAATCTCTCTTCCCAAATAGGAAGCACTGACTCAGGACATTCCCCCTCGCCTCCAGAAAGAGACTGGTTGAGTCAGCAGACTGGGGGTCACTGGGTGGCCGTGGAAAGCAGCCTCCCCACCCCCATTCAGACTCAAGCCCTTTCCCCTCTTGGGCCAGGTCAGCACTTCTGTCCTGGCAAAAGGCAGAGCAGCTGGCCTCTGTGGCTCTAAAGGTGTTAAGAGCTGTGTCTAGAGGCTGGGGGAAGAAAGAATAGCAATAAATCACCTAAGATTTTGCAAAAACCCTGGAATGAGTAATTGCACAGGGGGAAAGAGGGCTTTTGCCAGGAATCAGGACCTAAGAACCAGGAGACAGAAAGGTTTGTGCCTGTACTTGTCTCTCATGCTAAGATTTAGCAGTGCTCTGAGTGCAGGGACAGGAGAGACAGCTGCCTCACTCCTAGGAGCTCCAGACTTGGTTTTTATGGGACTAGAAAAGCTATGATTCCTGGGAGAACACCGTCACGGTGTGTACGGATGTTATGAGCACTGTGCGGTGAGTTGTTGTCACGCCTTACCCATGACCTGCACAGGCTTGTTGCACCATTCTTAGCACGTGTCTAAGGAGCAAGCATCTTCCTGATACAGATGGAGAAACCAAGGCACAGAGTAATTCAGGGACCCTCCAGAATACACAGAATCTGTTGATAGTGGAAATGACCGAGGCCAAGGCCACGGCCATGCCTTCTGGATGTAGCACACCAAAGTCCACCAATGTGCAATGCTTCCTCTTTGCAAAAGTCTTTCAGAACCCCCCATTTTTTTTTATGCATCATTCCGGAACCACAGGAAATTATTCCTTTCCCTAAATCCTCTATTTTCAGCTTATTTCCTCTAGTTTATCAAGACAGCCAAGGGTATAGCAAAACTCGCAAAACAGTGACTAGACTTAAGAACCAAGAAATCTAAAAGATGGTTTTTGCAAAGCTTTCCAAGGGAGTAGTCAAAAGAAGCAGCCCCTTGGAAGAAGAGAAAAACAGAGAGAAGTCCGTAAAAGTCTTATGTTTTAATTAAGTCATCTCATTTAATCTCCAGTGCCCTAAAAAAGAATTACTGTCTTGCTTTTAGTTGAAAAAGGAGCCACCCTTTCTAGGGAAGTGAGGAGGCTGGTTACACTTGTTCCTCCACAAGGAAACGCCTCCCATAATCACCTGAGGAAAGTCCCCGAACTGTGTAGAACACAGGTGAGATTTTCTGAACCTTGATCTAGAAAGGTGACATTTCCTCTTTTAGCTCAGCTGCTTTTTTTTTCTTTTCCCCTAACTCAGCTGCTCTTAAGCCAGGATCACCACCATCTTCCCTGTCCCCAGCAGGACACATGTGCATGTACATGCACACACACACACACACACACACACACACACCCTCCAATCATACAACTGTCCCAGGTGAGGCCAAAGGGACAAAAGGAGGAAGAAAAGTCCCAGGAAGTGCAGGGTGGAGATGGCACAGAGGAGGAGGCACAGTATCCTGGCCTTGCAAGGCAGCCGGCACTCAGGGTCCTATTCGGGCTGCTGGTCATCACACAGTTCCTCAACATCCTCACACAGTTCCTCAAAGTCCGTACTCCTCCAGCGTATGGAAGCTCCCTTGGGGGCTGGGGTGGGTGGGTGGGAATGTCTCCTGGGGCCACAAAGCAGATCTAGGACATCCCCACAAAACTTTCAGAGTTGAGGGGGACCAGGAAAAACCAGCCAGGGCTCTCCAGAGAAGAAGGACGCTCGCCCACCCCTCATTCTGCTCCACCCACTGCACAGTCCTGGGTCCCTGACAGCTCTGCTTCCTGCAGGTGAACAGGTACTGGAAACCTGTACTCCAGAAGGCAGCCAGGGCTGGGGAAGGGGCAGGGAGGGCTGCGGAAGGAACGCAATTCTCCATCAATCTTCCCAAGTCTGGGCATAGAGCGTGTGTGGCCTGGAGGGGAGGGGGGTCGTCTCATTTAGTCAGAAGGAATGGGGTTCCGGAAATGACTTTACTTCCAGATCTGTTCTTTTCTCAGAAAGGTCCGGGACCTTCGGCCAAAGTAGCTAAGGGTGGTGGCTTCTCAGTCGGAGGACTGGCTAGTGGCAAACAGCAATAAATATTTGTTGACTGAATAATTTTTTTAAAATAGTATTCCTAATTGCCTTCCTTCCAAAGTCCAGAGCCTCTCTTGAAAGAAAGGAAATTAATACTGACCTCTAACTTAATTTCCACCACCCTAGAAAGGAGGAGCCCAGGTAGGGGCCCAGTGACTTGACAGGTTCACACTCTGTAAAGCAGCTGCGGCGTTAGCCCGGCCCCGGCCCCTCCAGGCTCAGGAGTGGTCACTGGGTCCGCCGAATGTGTAGCCCGCGGCTATTTGTGCGGCGGGAACCAGCTCTTAGTGCCGGGTGAGGCAGGAGGCCCTTGTCCCCGGGCGCAAGTGCCCTGGATTCCCATAGAGGAGTAGTGAAGTGGGGTGGGGGGCTCCGGCGTAAGGCGCCTGAGCCAGGGCGCGCTTCAGGCACCCCGCGCGCGATTGCACAAGTTTCCTGGTTTAAAGGACACGTGGCCCCGGGGCCCCACAACTGTTTCCGCAGGGCCGATCCGCGCCTCCCCTCACCCCAGAGACCCAGCCACACTCCTCTGACCTCCCTCCCCGTCCCTATCTGACCCTACCATCTCCACCTGCCCTTTCTCCAGCTCACCTGACCGTCCGCGCCGCCCTCCCGCGTCCCGCCCGCGCCCAGTCCTGGCCCCATCCCGCGCTGCCCGGCACTAACCCCGGCGGCTGCGCTTCAGTCTCAGGCTGGCTCGGAGGCGGCGGCTGAGCCCGTCCATGGCCCCTCGAGCGCCGGGAGCCTGCTCCCAGGTCCGCGCGGGCCCCGCCCCCCTGTGCCCGACCTCAGGGGCCTGACACTTTCACTTTCACGCGGGGGGTGGCCGAGGGGACGTCGCGGAGCGGAGCGGCGCACCTTCCGGACTCCGGCCCAACCCTCGGCGCACCTGGGCGGGCCGCTCTTCCCCGGCCCGGTGCAGGGCGGCCGGAGGGACAGAGGGCGCTCGACCAGCGTCCGGGACGGGGCGGCGCCACCTCGCCCCCACCCCCCGTGGGGCGCCCTGGGAGGGCTGGCCTTCCGAACCCCGAAGTGCCCCAGTGCGCAGGGTTGTGACCAAGTCAACTCCTACCTCAGCCGCAGGAGCTGGGAACGTCGCGTGGCCACCAGCGCACCTTCCAGGTGCTCTCAGCTTATTCCAGAAGGGAAGTTCCCAGAGTCGTCACACCTTTCCCACCCCTCCACTGACACTGTCGCCGCAATTGCGTTAGCCTCTGGGCATTCCCAGATCTCTCGTCTGATACGTGCTTCCACCGGCCGGCACGAGCCCAAGCCCGTCTCTTTTCCCCATTTCACTTCCCCAAGGAATCGGGAAGTGACTGGAGCCCCGCGGGCCAGAAGGGGGCCTAGAGAAGACTGCAGGTTAGCGCCCCTACTTTCAGCGCTGCCACCCCCCAGAGATAGGGAGGTTTAGGAACTTCTTTGCAAACGCTTAAGTTTACAAATTTAAGGTTGTTGATGATGATGGAGAGGTGGAGGGGCAGGGGGCGGGGTTATGATCCTGGGATGTGGTTGCAACTATCCACGCTCCCTTTCCCAAAACCCAACACAGCCTCCCAGTTCCTCCTTTTTACCCTTTTCACCTTGGGCTCCTCAGCCTGCCCAAACTGCAAACTTTAGTTGTCAGTTAAGAAAATTTGCATCAGATAAACCCACGTGCACCAGGGGGAATCTGGCTTCCCTCTGTCTGCAGGGTGGGGAGGGTGGAAGGACAGAGTCCTGAAATTCCTCACTCAGAGTTTTTACTTTCTGTTTTCAGAAGCCTGAGGCAGAGAGATGGGATTCCTGCAGAAAGGTTTGGGACCTACGGAATGGCCCACTCCCTCTCCTCATACACAGCCCTGGGACTCTTGTTAGTCTAGGGCTTAGCAGAAGTGAGAAATCCAGCCCTAGTATTAAACTGTCTAGTCTGAGCCTGTGACTTCTAAAAGTTGCCTCTACTCTGGGCCCATGCAATTTTGCCCTTAATTACAGTCTGTTTCTGTGTCCTGTTCTCCGTGTTCCCACACACCGGTACTCATCCTTTCCCCAAGGGCTGCCTTTGGCTACACCTGTGTCCCATGCTTCTCTGTGTCAGTAGTTGCTCATGGTAAATGTGTCCCATTGGTTGAATACGATCATGCCTTAATTTTTTTCAACCTTTTATAGTGATCCTTCAATTAAAAATGAGTGAGTTTGTGCACACATACACTAAAAGATCAGGCGTGTGAATGTTCGTAGTGATAATATTTGAAAGAGATTCAAACTGGACTTAATGTCTTTGAGTAGTTAAGTGTTGGGGGGCAGATGATGGGGTTCAGTATGTGGAGTTCTTGGGCCCCTCTGAAAAAGAACCCAAGCAGATGTCCCCATTCATCAGCACACAGCAAGTTTATTGAGGAAAAGAGACATTTGCCTAGACACAGGTGGGAAGTCTTAAAAGACAAAAAGTGTATTCACCAGGGCAAGTGCTATTGTATAAAGTTCTTTGATGGGAATTATTGTGGAAATTATCACGGTGATGTATACTTCATAATCCGCTCTGCCCCCACCTCTGGCTAAGAATCTTCTCTGACCTACGTCAGATTCCTGGAAACTTTCACAGCCAGTTTAGTTTAAAATTAATTAATCATTCCTACCCCCACTTCTGGTGTTTGTCCTGTCAGACCTGTCATCCTAAATTTTTCTACTCTAAGTTTCCATCGATGGGGATGATTTGTGGTGTGTTATCAAAATAGAGTACTACCTATTCAATAAATACATCATAGCTGCATGCAACAACATGGCTACATGTCACACACACTTAATCTAGAGCAAGAGTCAGACATGAAAGAGAATGTAGTATAAGTTTCCACTTATGTGATGTTAAAAACAGACCATGAGAAATCAGGATAAGAGACTTCAGGGAGGAAAGTGGAAGGCCCGACTGGGAGATTGCCAGCAGGTTTCTGGGGCCCAGTAAGATCCTAGTTCTTGCCAGGTGCAAGATTCATACATAGCAGCAGGTGCATAGATGTGTTCACTAGTCTTTCTTCGCACGGTATACTTACAAGTACTTTTCTATATACATATGAAATTTTTATTTAAAAGATTTTTTTTTTTGTATTCATTAGGATCCTAGGGTGAAACAAAGGAAAGCATGAGCTAGTTGAGTTGGGGACACATTTAGAAATGGTTGGGATGTAGAGTATTAACAAGGAACAAGAGGAAAAAGTTAACTAATCCATAGTTGGAGGGAAATTAGTTGGAGGGGATGATGAGGCACCAGTAAGGACGAGGTGGAAGAGATACCAAAGGAAGGCAGATGGAACAGGTGTGAGGAGGGAGACGGTAAAAGCAGGGCTGAGGTGAGGCTGGCTTCCAGTGGAAAAAGGGAATCGAGGGAATCTAGGGAGTGGGTGTGAGTGGGTGCAGAGAAGAGGTCCTCCCTTTTCTTCCTATAGCCGTCATCTCCCTCTCTATTCCTTGGGCCATTCTTAGAGCGTCTGGCTGTGGACTGGGAGGAAATGACACCAACCGTCCTTCTTACAGGTCTTGAAAGGAGGCCACAGGCACGTTGTAGCCAGGGAGGCAGCATGTAACTGAGTGACCTCGCACAGGGATTTGGTCGCAGCTGCTCTGCTACCTACTTGCCTACACCCTTGTTCAGCATTTGATGGGCCTCACTCCCCTAAGAAAAAAAAAAAAAACTCACCCCACATGGTGATTGTGAGCCAGAGAAAGAATATATTTGTAATCCAAATGTCCAAGTGGCACACATCCCTTTAATGCCCAAATCACTTTATCAACTTGATCTCTCTTTTTTTTTTATTTTTATTTTTTTTTATTAAAAAGTTTATTTTTACATCATTTTTCACATTTTTTTTTTCATCTCAATTGTAATCCCCATGGGTTTCCCATCACCAAATCACCCCTGTGCCACCACCATAGTCCCGTGCATTTCCCTCCCTTCCCCCCCCCCCTTTTTGATCCCATTCCCCACTCCACCCTTGATCTCTCTTTTTTAAAAAAAAAAAATTATTTTTGTAGACAGAACTGGATTTCAGGCCAGAGGTGCAGGGGCAGTGAGAGGATTCACCAGAGACAGAGTGGGGAGCAGAACAGGCAGATCGATGAAGTACACTGCTGAGGGGAACAGCGGACGGGTCAGGAGAGGACTGCAGTGCCCTGTGGGTCACTTCCAGGGCGGGGATCGAACTCATGCTGAAGTGACCTTAGCTTCTTAGTGTTGTGCTTCAACCCACTGCGCCACCAAGGAGGGCCAGATAAACTATTTAAAAAAAATTTTTTGCCAGAGGTTTTGTGCTAAGAGAATGATATTACAAAAGAGCAAACTTACAACCAAGCATCATGGTTCATGGGTCCCAAGCCCTCCTCTGACTGTCCCAGCTGACCTGCCTGCCCCCCAAAATGCCCTGAGTCCAGCTCTGCCTGTGTAGCCGCATCATCCAGCAGCATTGACAGTGGCAATGCTAGTCCATGCAGGGGATCCCTGCCACAGGCACAGGAGGCCATCTTGTCCTTCTGTGCAAGTGCACCAGAACAACAACGGCAAAAAGAGATGAACGCAAGCTCCAAAGAACCTTCCACACAGAGCAGCACTAGCAGTATCCTGGTGTAGTTCCTCTTCCTGGTAACAGGCATCGCGATAAAAAGGGAGGTTCCATGTTCCCTGCCCCATCTAATGAGGGGCGGAGCGGAAGGCTCAGGGGAGGGTAGAGAACTCTTGGAGAAGAACACGCAGGAGAGGAGACACGTAGCAGAGATGGGTGGAGAAAAGGGTTCACTTGCTTCTTGGCTTTGGACTCGCACCAGAAACTTGGGAAACATGGAGGAGACGTGGGTGAGAGATGTGGGGAGAATGAGAGTGGGGCAGTAACTTCATTTTTCTCTTTTTTGGCCCAGAAGGTGCCCTAGGCTAGACAACCTTTCAGAACTCAGTGGCCCCACTCTGGGCCAACCGTTTGGCTGGGCACTTACCCATGGGGGGGGTGGGGGTGATTTGGGTGCCTCACTGGAAAATTCTATCCTTTCTCTTCTTCCCTCTTATGCACAATTATTCTGTTAACGATCTTTCACACCAAGAGCATGCTTTGTCTTTATGTGGCAGGTGGCGGAATCCCTTTAGAGCGTGAAAGTTTGGGGGCCCTAGGCTATCCCCACAGCCAGCACACTAACAATAACTTGAGTGAATGAAATTTCAACTATTGCTCTTTTTTTTATTTTTAAGGATTTACTTATTTATGCATACAAAAACTGGGGCACTGACCAGGAGTGCAGGGGTTGACAGGATTCATCAGAGACAGAGTAGGGAGAAGAACAGACAGAGCTACTGAAATACACTGCTGAGATGAGCAATGGGTGGGTCAGGAGAGGTCTTCTGTGCCATGTGGGTCACTTCCCTGGCTGGGGATCAAACTCCTGCTGCAAAGTCTGGGGACAGCTTCATAGTGTTGTACTTTCTCCCTAGCGTCACAAGGTCCCTCAACTATTGCTCTTTCAAGTCACTTTGGAGTCGTGGCTTTGGATCACCTGTGAGAAATGACTTGAAGAATAAGCCACACTCGTGCCTAGCATAAGCAACGATAAGCAACATTAAGAAGCAACATCCCCAACTGGAAACAGACAGCATTTACATGACAGCTAAGAGCTCCTGGGACCAAAGTTCTCAAATCTCTCTCCTTGACAAGGGTCTCTGCTCTGCATTTGGATAACCTTGACCAAACATTGACCCATGTCCATTTAAATGAGATTCCCTTGTAACACACTCAAGTCACACCATTTTGCACTTCCTTAGCACTTACAATGATTTGTAGTTAAGGATTATATTCTGAGATTTTATTGTTCAACTCCTCTCTCCTTTCTCCAGCCGTCCCTGGGAAGGGGTGTGTGTCTTACTCATCCCTATGTTCCGAGTGTCCCAGCA